ATGGACAACAGATTATGTTTCAATCCTTCAACTAACAGAACATTAGTAATAGAGGGAAGCTTACCATTTCCAATAGTGCCAGATTCAATGATCTTGCCCTTCTGGTTCCCTCCAAACTTCACGTCCCCTCCAGATCTAAGTTCCAGGATTTGGAACATAGACCTTTCTCCTGTCATGTGTCGTGAGCATCCAGAGTCCAGGTACCATGATTGGTGTCCTGACTTTGCTGCTAAGAACATCTGCAACAGGAATTATTTTGTCTTTAGGTACCCAGATCTTCTTGGGTCCTTTGGGGTTAGTTGGTTTGCAAGTTTGTCTAAACTTCTGTTTTGCAACATAATGTTTATTCTGACTTGCCTTTGGTTTAAACACATAAGTACTCTTCTCAGAGCTTGTGTGTTTAATGTCATTCAGATGACCAAATTTGAATTGAGAGTACAGAGGTGTCTTACTGATAACAAGTTTGTCAACAGGTTTTGGATTGCTTCCAGATGAAGACTCATATCCAATGCCTCTTTTGTTGTTTCCACTAACACCATAGATCATGGAAGCCATCTTGCTTCTGTCTATGCTCTTAGTGAGAAACTTCTGAAAACTAGAGTCATATTTTTCTAAAATATTTTCACAAGACTCAGTTTCAGAATCAGATTCTTGTTGAGTTCTATCAAAGTCATTTTTGATTTTTAAATTTATTTCCTTCTGCTCAACAAGTTCTGTTTTCAGAAGATCAATCTCAGATTCAAGATTGCTTTTCAGCTTCTTGTATTTGAGTTTGATGTTGTTGTAACTTTTAAGAACTTCTGTTAAAACTTTAATGAGTTCTTCTTTGGTAAGTTTGGCCATTACCTCTTCTGCATCATCATCAGATTCAGATTCAGATTCATATCCAGAGGTACCTTCTTCTTGATCCTCTGTCCTGGCCATCAATGCAACGTTTGCACATTCTTCTTCAGATTCAGAAGATGACTCACACTCATCAGAGTCATCCCATGTTGCCATCAGAACCTTTTTCTTCTTGTTGAACTTCTTCTTAGGTTTTTCTTTCAGAAGTTTAGGGCAGTCATTCTTGTAGTGCCCAGGTTCTTTGCACTCATAGCACACCACATCTTTCTTGGCAGATCTTCTGTGACTAGAAGATTCTTTCCTGTTGTCAGATCTTCTGAAGTTGTTAAACTTCTTTCCCTTGTGCTTCCAGAGTTTGTTAATCCTTCTGGACAGCATTGACAACTCATCTTCTTCTTCAGAAGAAGATTCTTCAGAGCTTTCTTGAATAACCTGCAAAGCTTTAGCAGTTTTGTTAGATTTTAAAGCTATGGATTTACCTTTATCTTTCTTCTGGGGTTCATCTTCTTCCAGCTCAATTTCATGACTTCTCAAAGAACTGATAAGTTCTTCTAAGGAGATCTTGTTCAGATCTTTTTCCATCTTCAATGCAATCACCATTGGTCTCCATCTGGTGGGAAGACTTCTGATGATTTTCTTGACATGATCTGACGTTGAGTAGCCCTTGTCCAGAACTTTCAGACCAGCTGTAAGAATCTGAAATCTAGAAAACATAGTTTCTACATTTTCAGAATCTTCCATTTTAAATGCCTCATACTTCTGTATGAGCGCCAGAGCCTTTGTCTCTTTAACCTGGGAGTTTCCCTCATGAGTCATTTTGAGTGATTCAAACATGTCATGAGCAGTATCTCTGTTAGTAATCTTCTCATACTCAGTATGAGAGATTGCATTAAGCAAAATAGTTCTGGCTTTGTGATGATTCTTGAAGTCTCTTTTCTGCACTTCAGTCATTGATTTTCTATCAATCTTTTTGCCATCCTCTCCAGTAGGATGTACATATCCATCAATGACCAAATCCCAAAGATCAGCATCATACCCAAGAAAAAAACTTTCTATTCTATCTTTCCAATAGTCAAATTTTTCTCCATCAAACATTGGAGGTTTGGTACTGATCCTATCCTTCTCTTCATATTTATTGTTGATTGAATTATCAGCCATGACAACAAATAAATATATAGATCAAAGTATATCTCCTCTGGATCTTTACTGACACTGTTAAGTGATAGCACACTCAGAACCGGAGCTCTGATGCCAACTAAAGGTGAGATATAACTTAGAAGGGGGGGGGGGGGGGGGTTGAATAAGTTGAGAAAATTAATACTTGAAATAAATCACACAATTATTTTTATCCTGGTTCGTTAAACAACTACTCCAGTCCACCCTTCCAGAGTGATTTGCCTTTCTCAACAAGGTCTTAATCCACTATTAAATCAAACTGATTACAATAGTATCACCTAAGAACTACAGTTCTTAGTCTTCTCAAGAGCTACTGATTCACACTGAATCCTCTTAAGGAAATTCCTTTACAAACAATGTAAATAAAATACAAGAGTTTTTAATGCTTCTATAAAGCTATAATCACAACAGTGATTTTTCTCTTAAGATTTAAGTACAAAGATTCTATGAAGAATAAGAATGAGAGCTTAAGAATATTTGATTTCTTTTCAGCAAGTGTATAGCTCAAGAGTGTGTAACTGAAGAATGAAGTGAGAGGCTCCTTTTATAGGCAACTGAATTTTCCACGTTGAAAAGAGAGTCCAAAAGGTCTGAGCCTTTTTGTCTTCACATGTACTGACCTTTCCTTGAAATAGATGGCACAGATAAATCCTTTTTGTCTGTGTAAGTGTGTCTAGCACAAATAAGGAAAGAGACGTTGAAAGATTCCAACGGATACATTCTTGAAAACACTTCTTCAGTTTCAGCAAGTTCTTCAGAGTCTGAATGGATCAGAGTCTTCTGATGAGTTTCAGAACTGTGCTGTATCAGAGTCTTCTGCAGCTTGTGTGCTTCTAGCGTGTTGATCATCAGAGCATCTTGACACAGAACTTCAGTACTTGGCAGCGTAGGTACTTTCAGAAACTTCTGTAGATCAATGCTTTGAGAAACTCTTCAATCAATATTCTTCTATTATTCTGATGCTTCAGCTTCAGATGCTTCTGATTATCTTCAGATGCTTCTGACTCAGAATGTTCTGGAGCTTCTTTCTTCAGATCCTTCTGGAGACTACGCTCAGGATCTTCTGTAAGGAGCAAGCAGATTCTTCTGTAAGATGCATCTGGCGCTTCAGATTCAGAATAACTTCTTGTATTCAAAGACAGATTTGCTTCTAGAGAGCCAATATAATTTTAATCTGCAGTAAAACTCTCAAACAAATTTTAGAGTATATAATTCTTAAATATAAATTTCCTAACAGTTATCATCAAAACAAAGAGTAATTATTAAGAACCAATCTGTATTCTAACAACTGCAAGTTTGCTCTTTACTTTCTCAATAAGATACTGATAATCTTTCACTTTTGGACTTCTTCTAGTCAGAGGAAACCCCAAGCATTTGCCCATCTCTTTAGTCTCATTGAAACCTAACAATTGAAGTAACTGTCTTTTGGTGTGCCCTGAAATGTTCTTGTAAAACATGACATCGATCTTCTCATTGCTAATCTTTTGATCTATAATAACACAAAAATTATGTAGCACATCCATAACACACATCATTTGGTTTTCTACGCCTATCCCAAAAAGTAATATGTCATCTGCAAACATCAAATGAAAAATAATTAGGCCACTTCTACATGTTCTCATTCCTTCCCAATTACCTTTTTCAACAACTTCACTTATCATATGTGATAACTTATCCATACACTGAACAAAAGGATAAGAATAGATTTAAATTTTTGAACAAGTGGGTTTGATCTCTATTTTCTATAGAAGTAAACTCAATCGAAAATAGGAGTGAAAAACCGGCATGTCCGTCTTATTTAGTCTCGTTCCGCAAAAGTCTGGAAAAAAAACATGGTGGGACGAACATTATGACTAAATTAAAATATAGTAAAAATTATATAATTTTTCAAAAAAATATATATTTCAAACATGTTATATATATATATATATATATATATATATATATATATATATATATATATATATATATATATATATATATATATATATATATATATATATATATATATATATATATATATATATATATATATATATATATATATATATATATATATATATATATATATATATATATTTAAACAGAATTATAGCAAAAGAATAAAATATCTAAAATATTATTTTATAAAAAATTATTCAAAGCAACTTTTCATTTAAACTTTGTTTTTAAAAATTATATATGTATTTTAAATAAATATATGTAATATTACAAAAATTATTTAAAAGAAAAAAACTAAAATGCACCTACCTAAAATTGATTTAGGTAGTAAGGAATTTAGATTTTTAAACAAGTTGTGTAGATTTTAATCTCTAATTTTAAGGTAGATAGGAAACTCAGTTGAAAGAGAAAACCTACCTAATGAGTCCAACTGATTTTTCAATAGAAATTGATGATTGTTAAATGGCTAAATTTTCTCATAATTAACATACTAATCATAATGAAAAAAGAAAGAAAAAAAATGAACCCAAAATAAATAAATAAATGTGTGTGAACTTTAATTAAAATTGGATTTTGTGCATTACGATAGAGTGAAACACGGTATTGAAATTTGTTCTGACGATATAAAGGTAGAAAAAGTGGGACACAGCAATAAATTCCTTTCCTCTAGTACAAACATTTCACAATCTTCGTCGGTTTCACTTTATAATTTGGACTAATTTGAGTTTAACAACAAACATGTGCTTCACTTTCACTTCTTCGCCTTCTTTGAGGTTCAACTCTAACCATAACCTTAATCATTTCTCATTCCTTTCATTCACAGTTCTTCACCTATAAATAACTTTTTTTTTTTATAATTTTTCTCACCTCACACTAATTACAATTCATTAAAGTTTAAGTCTTTCGAAGTTTCAAGAGAGATCTAGGCATTTCAACCATTTGGGTTGTGAAAAAGTTACAAACTTTGTTTCTGGGTTTGGGTTTGAGGTTCAACAATTTAGTGACCCTTTGAGCAGAAACCTTAAAGGGTGTTTTAATTTATGAAATTTCGTCCTTTTATGATGTTTGCTGGAAATGGGTTGTTTTATCCCATTTTGGGTTTTGCGTCTTTTGTGGTTTTTATTTACATGTCTTTTGGAGGGTTAAGGTTTAGTCTTGAAGAGGAGAAAGAATTGGGGTTTGTGATGAGAAATGGGACACGGTTTATGTTGGATGGTAAAGAGTTTTATGTGAATGGGTGGAATTCTTACTGGTTGATGGATCATTCTGTGGATTTTTCGTCGAGATTTAAGGTTCGTGAAATGATGAAAATTGGTGCTAAAATGGGACTCACTGTTTGTAGAACTTGGGCTTTCAATGATGGTCATTATAATGCTCTTCAAATTTCACCTGGTCACTTTGATGAACAAGTTTTCCAGGTATTGTTGTCTGTGTAGCTCTGATTTGTGGTGATTTTGTATAATGATGTTTCTATGATTTGTTCTGATAATGTTTTTGTGTGCCTGTGGATGCTGCCGACACAAATTAGTTTTTTTATTGTATATCTGTGTGTGTTGTAGTAACTTGTTTTGTTTATTTTATTAAGGTTTACTTTTGTTGATTTTTTTATTAACTTGTGTGTGATTATGTCTCTTTGGGTTTGCAAAATGGTTTAGAAAATGTTTGAATTTATATTGAGTTTGATAGATAAACAAACTCTCCACCAATTCAGATATATAATTAGTGAATTGATGTACCATTGTTCTTGGGAATTGGTAGAATATAGAATTAAAAAATGGCAAGAAATCTCTGTGGTTGGCATATACGTGTAGAATCAATTTGAAGATTGTTTTTTCTTGTGCTCCTAAAATTACGCTCACAAGCTAGATGGGCCCAACAGGAGATATATTGGACTTTTGCTATTCTTGACCCTTTGTCCAATGTATAATACACTGGAAATTGACCCAAAAATAGTGACAGTGTTTCTGTCTTCTACTAAAATCAATATTCGAATGAAATGCCAAAACTGAAAGGTTTGTGTACTTACATTTTGCAAAATTTCAAGTAGCTTGGAGACTTATGTTTTACTTAACTTGTCCTTTACCACCGGGGTCTAGTGCAAGTGGTTGTTGTGCAGTGTGTGAGTGTTTAGAGTTATTTTTATAGAATGAAAATTGTGCTGTGCTGACTTAGGATTGATATGGTGACAGGCTTTGGATTATGTTATAGCAGAAGCAAGGCAAAATGGAGTCCGGCTGCTTCTTAGCTTAGTAAATAACCTGCAACCGTATGGTGGGAAGAGTCAGTATGTCAAATGGGCGTGGCAAGAAGGTGTAGGATTAAGCGCGTCCAATGATTCTTTCTTCTATGATCCATCAATCCGTAGTTATTTCAAGAATTACATCAAGGTATGGCATGTCTATCTTTCTTTTTCTCTTCTTCCATCCTTCTATTTACCCCGATGGGTGGGGAGATATTCGTATGTGCTTTTAAAGATTCCTCGATGTTTTAGAAATATTACTCTGCAAAGAAGTAATAACCCTGGGCTGAATCATCACTGCGACAGTGCAAATCTTGCTGTTAAGCAAAGAATTTGATGGCCAGTGCATAACTTTCTTCCTTTACACACACACAAAAATTAATAACCTTATTTTTCAAGCTTTGTTGAACATCTTCTTCCTTGTTTTCTTTTACTTTTTGGTCTTGCAGCTTTCTGTTTTCTTATGTATACTAAACTGAAAACATTTTGAATGCTTTGCACATGATCCATGACTTTCAAATTAAGTTTGAATCTTTGGTTTTCCAGTGTCAAATTTCTTTTTCATTTATCTGCTAATTAGATGTCTTCGCACTTTTTAACTGCGCATTTAAATTTCCGCTCTATGTTCGTAGACCTTGAGGCAATTCTTAGATAAACATAAACTAATAGCTTCCTAAGTTTTCTGCAGACTGTCTTGACAAGGAGAAATACTTTCACCGGAATTGAATATAGAAACGACCCCACCATTTTTGGATGGGAATTGATTAATGAGCCTCGTTGCATGACTGATCGTTCCGGAGACACTCTGCAAGTAAGTCCTTTCCCTAGGCTCTAATCCCTTCAAATATTTATCGCAAAATAAGGCTAGGAAGTAACTTCTTTAAAATTATTTCTCGATGCTTCCTACTTGTTACATGCTGTATGGCCTGTGAGGAGGTTAAAAGTTCAAATTTTTTTATCAAAAAATTTATGATCTCTAATGAATTTTCTCTGGCTATTTTCTCTCCACAACATAATATTGTGAAATTCACGAGTTGTGTCCGAGTTCAATATGGATACTTTATCCAAATTTTATCCTTTTTTTTCTATTTGATACTGTAAGTTTTAGTCTTTGTTGGGAATTATATAGAAAAGTAAGAAAAATGTTGAAATCGATTCTGCAGGAGTGGATAGAAGAAATGTCGGCTTTTGTGAAATTGATAGACAATAAACATCTGCTGACTATTGGGAATGAAGGATTTTATGGTCCTAATGACCCAAAAGATTTGACTGTCAACCCGAATTATTGGGCATCCAAACTTGGATCAGATTATATTCGGAACTCCAAAGTCTCTAATATTGACTTCACCTCAGTTCATATCTACCCAGATCAATGGTAAGCTTTGCATGAATTCTTACGGGTTTTTCATACTCAACTGATTAACTAATGCAGCAAGAGCTATTCTGAAAATTACGTGTTCCCTTTTTAGATTTATCATTGCGGCTATTCCTTTTTTCGTTTCTTGAGCTATCTGTTTTTGCATAGGTTTCACGAGGATGAGAAAGCAATTGAAACTCAACTGAAATTCGTCTACAAGTGGATGCTGTCCCACATTGAAGACGGTGACAAAGTACTAAATAAGCCGGTCTTGTTCTCCGAATACGGATTATCAAAAACAAACCAGAACTTCACCATATCCGCCCGAGAAAAGATGTACGAAACAATTTTAAACATCGTTTACAAATCTGCAAAGAGAAACAGGTCTGGAGCAGGTGCTCTAGTTTGGCAATTCTTAGTTAGTGGAATGGAAGACTATACGGATGATTACGGGATAGTTCCGGGGGAAAGTTCGTCGACACAATCACTATTTATAAAACATTCATGCAGATTGGCCAAACTCAAGGGATGGATTTCTCAACAGGATGTAAATTTCAAACAACTTTGTTAGCAAAGAAAGTGGAAATCAAAGTTTACTACATTATGGAATAGAGATTTTGTGCAATATCATACTTTCAGTTCTTCATCTCCAAGCCCTATACTGCATAGTGCATAGGAATATGACTAGTTGAGTGTATAGTGTGGTAACTTGGATTAGAGATTTTTATAAACAAGGGTATTGTTTACGATAATTGAATTTACAAGCAGTGAAAGTTTTTTATTCAAAAGATTTCAACATTTTCCTTATTTGTGTATCAATGATTACTACAAAAATACATTTGACCTATGGTTTTAAACTAGTCATGTATTTTGGAAAATCCTCATGGTGAATGTATGAAAAACCAATACCATGTACTCCTGGCCCAATTTATGTTTAATTTGTTTGTTTTTTTTTTGCTAATAAGTATTTCATTCTTTTATTACAATCATTTTAAAATCAAATTTTAAAAAATCACATAAATTTAAATTTATTTACCATAAAAATTATTTTTAAAACTACCAGTTAGTAAAAATAGGTCCTATTTGATAAAATTAATTAATATGACCGGATATATAAAAACTAACAAATATTACATTACATATCAATTAAATTTAATATTTTAATTAATATCACAATTAATCTCTTTTCATTTATCAATTTTCTAAATGTTAAAACGGGATCATAGAAAATAAGAATTACATAAAGTGATTTCTAAAATTTGATAAACCACAGAAAATTTCACACTACAAATCAGTTATGACTTATTTGATAGGATAACTATAACTCACACAATGATATTTGAGATATATTCCATAGGAAAATACTCGAAACAATTTCAGAGAATCATATTTTCATTTTCTTGTTCACAAAGAAACACAGATCTACAAAATCTAACCACAAAGAAAAGAAAATTAGACTGAAATAATTAAAGACTTAATAACGATTTATATTACAAAACCCTAATTAGCCCTAGTCTTAACGAATCTGGAAGAAGTTCTAACCCTAATCCCAGAAACAGGGGTTTTATCTTCCTCTACAACAACCTTCTTCGCTTCAGCAACCTTCTTCACAGCATCACCAATTTTAACCAATCTCCGACGCGGAGTCTTCACCGGAGCAGCCACCGGATCAGCAACAACCACCTCAGTAGCACGCTTTTTCACCGGAGAAGCAACTCGATCGAAATCATCACCAAGCTTCTTCACCAAACGCCTTCCACGGCTCACAGGACCCGAAACCCTAACCTCCTCCTCTTCTTCCTCAAGAAGAGTTTCAAGCCTACGGCGCTTTGACGCAAACGGAGCAGGCGGTGGTGAAGGCGAAGGAGAAGCAGAACCCTTAGAAACCTTGGACCTGCGAAGATCAGAGCTAGGGCTTTTGGTATGAGCTTGAGTATAAGCGTTAAACTCTTTCTCGCGTTGAGTACGGAGTTTCTCAACATTGCCTTCGATTTTACCCATGAGACGGAGGCGTTTGAAGCTGAGCCCGCCCATGGACCAGTGGGCTTCTTCGGCCCACGACATCAGTGGACCAGTGACGGAGAGAGGAGGATCTACGCGGTCGCTACCGTCTGAGTTGACGTGGATTCGAGGACGAGGGAGGCTTGAGCCGTAGAATCTAACGGGCTTGGAGGGTTCAAATGGAAGAACCATTGTTTTTGGGTTGGGTTAGGGTTAGTGTTTGAAAATTTGGGAAGTGTGAATGAGTTTGATGAGAAATAATAGGGCTGCGTTTGTTATATAAGAGAATCGGAAACGCTTAAAAAAAGAGGGTTTTGATGGCGGGAAGAAGGAGATAGGCGGGATAAGTTGCCGCTTGTAATAACTGAAAATTTTGTAGCTTTTCATTCGGGCTTGGCTTTTTTACCGAATCAGTTAATGGGTTAGTTTGAGTACTATCTACACCGCCTTTTTACTAAATACGCATATGTACATTTTTTTCCTCTTGAAATATGTTTTCCAAAATTTTTAGAGTTTAGTACTATATTGAGGTTTAGTAAAATAAATAAAAACATAGTGAGATTGAAATTTTTTTTACTAATTCATTTAAGAAATCCATTACCAATCTATTATTAATGTTATTAAGTTTAATATTCTTTTTTGATCCTCTTAAGTTATTTTCTGCCCATTAACTTTTTAAATTGTGTTATTTTAGTCTCTTTCATCCAATTAATGACAGAAAAATTGAATAATCAATTGTTAAATTTATTATTAATTAGATAAAAATTACTAACATAATACATTTTGAAGAGTTAATTGATAAATATGAATTTTTTTTTGAGTTAAGAAGTCAAAATGAACTCTATAATTAACATATCACATCGAGAATGTATTAAACCTTGTTATTATTGTCAAAAGTACATGATTTGAGTTGATTAGAGGTGGAAATAAGTTAAGATAGACTAGATTTTAGAAGGTCTAAAGTTGGTCTATGATAAATTTTTATGGAGAGAGTTTGATCTATGGTCTATTTTAAGCTTTTCTTTTTCTATGGTCTGGCCTTTTTGAAAGTCTGACATGTCCTTAAAATCTATTTAAAAGCTTAATCAAATAATTTATTTTACATATTTTCAAATAGGTTACACAACCATTTTTTATATATTATTTAGCCTAATTTTAAATATAAAAAACTCTTAAAAAATCAAAAGAAAAATTACTAACAACATTCCTTTACTTAAAGATATATCAAATTAAACAAATTAAGATTATAAGTCTATCACCATATAATTAGAAGTAAGACTAAATCTAACATTGCAGAATACAATTGACATGATAAACAAACAATCAAACACTTTAAAATTGTCGACCTTCATACTGTTGGAGCAAGATACTAATATCTATGTCACACTTGAACATTATAAAATTACTAAAAAGAACATTAAACAAAATAAAATTCCAAAAAGGTTGATAACTTATGTATTGAATATAATAGTTTCTCAAATACGAACTCTTCAATTCTAGTATCTAAACAAAAGTGATATGTATCTCCTCTTTTTCAACCTTCAAAATAAGAAGAAAGAATATAAATATAAATATATATATATATATATATATATATATATATATATATATATATATATATATATATATATATATATATATATATATATATATATATATATATATATATATATATATATATATATATATATATATATATATATATATATATATATATATATATATATATATATATATATATATATATATATATATATATATATATATATATATAAATAAATGAATGAAATATGATAAAAATAAATAAATATTACTCAATAACATATCATATTAAATATTAAAAAAAAACCTTTAATTTTATCTTCACATTATATTTATGGCGGAACTAATCTCCACCATAAATGAGAGCTTCAACAGATTATTTATTTAGTTTAGAGCAAAACTCATTTATGACTCTACCTCTAGCACTGAATGTAGACTCAGACGCCACAATTGAGATTGAAATAACTAGAATATTAGCAATCATCTTAGACAATATCTTATATTTCATGCTATTGTCCCTTCACCAATTCAAAACACAAAAAAAAAAGTATTTTTAAGAATGTAAATACCTTCATTAAGATAATATTGCAATTCTGATTTTATTGGAGGAGTAACTTCATTTTCCTGAATAATGCTCATAGTTTCATCAAATCCAATTCTGATAGGTACAACATTCACTTGGGATGGTGATGGATTGCTACTATCCAAATTAACAATAGAAGAAGAAGACGACTCTGCCAAAAATAGAGTTACATACTTGTCAGCAACTTTTTTAAAAATTTAAAATTATTTTGGAAAAACATATATGCACTATATGAAATTTGCACCTAGGATCCTAAACACTAATTATAACCATCAACATATTACATCCCCCAATCAGGGTCGGTCCAACACATTTTCATGCCTAAAGCGAAATTTAAAATTAACTATTTTTTATATAATAAATTTTTTTTTAAATTAATGTATTTTTGATTTTTTTTTTTAGAATGTAAAATCATTAATTACTAAAATTCATTTCATTTAATATTTTTTTAATTGACAATAAAATTAATCATCTAAACAATCATCTCATCATTAAAAAAAGTATAATCGAAAATACAATGTCAAAATTCCTAAAAAGAATACTTAAATATTAAATTTTCTATTATATAAAAAGAATTTAAAATTTTGTTCTATAAATTTGGTTTTTAAATTAACAATCACATATATCATATTAAACAGTTGTTATTGTTATATATTTTAAATAGATTTAATTATTTAATTGGCATAACATAGTTTAACAAGTTATTTTTTTGAAAAACTAATTAAATAAAACTATATAAATATAATATAAAAAATTGAGGTCCTAGGCAATAGCCCTGGTGGCCTACCCCTAGGACCAGCCTTGCCCCCAATATTTGTTAAATTTTATTTTCATTGAACTTGTCATTTCTCTCCTAAAGAAATCTTCATCTTCATTCGCATTATCAAGTATTTCTTTCAACTTCAAAACTTTTGACAAATACAAATTTGTAGTCAGATACTCACTACCTACATTTATAATAGTAGTTATAGTAAACAATTATAAGAATAATAAAATACAAAAAAGTTGATAAACTACCTGATATCACATGAATAACACAATTAAACACTTTTAGAAGTTTACGAACTTTCTAAACTTTATTCCATTCTTCAAGTGAATGGGCATAACCATAATGAGACTCTCTTTCTTTGTAGGATGCAAATGCAATCTTAAAGTTCAAAGCAATTGACAACATATTAAAGGTCGAATTCCATCTTGTTGAACAATCAACAATGAGTTGTCTTTCTTTCAAACAAATTTGCTTAACTACATCACAAAATGTCTTTAGTCATGCATCATTATAGTTAACATATTTTATACTTTCACGAATATTAAAAATGATGTCCTTAATTTTACTAAGGGTATATTTTTTAGAGACTCTAGTTTTAAAATAAAACCCTTCAATTTTCAAGGGTATATTCGTTTTCTTTTATTTTTTTTTAAGTGAATGAGATTTCGATAATATAAATGAGTTTCTTAAACATTTATGTATAAAGATTTAGTTTTAAATTTAATAATATTTATTAATTTATTAATATTATTCATTAATCTATTAATAATCATAAATAGTTTTAATATTTATTAATATATATCAGACCGGCCTATTAGGCTTTATAGGTTTTTTTAATAGGCTAAATCAGGCCTATTTAATTAAATATACTTTTTCAAAAGTCTAAGCCTAGCCTTTTAATTAAATAGGTCAGGCTAGGTCAGACCTTAATTAGGCTAGACTATAGGCCCCTATAGGTTGGCTTAGCCTATTCTCAACCCTATAGTTGACTAGACATGGTAAGTATTTATGATAATAAATTTTCATTTAAAAATTAGAATGTTAAGGTCTTTCACTCAAAGCATTTAGATTATTAGCACATCGTACTTAGAAGATCGTGTAATATTATGATTTTTCATTCAAAATACTTCACTCATACGCATTTCTTGTTTGGAAGACTATGTATTAGTAGGTCTATTTTAACATAGTAACATCCGAATTTAGTGAAATAGACCTTATAATATGTCAAATTCTAGAGAGTGTCCCTTTTTGGACATGTGACTTCGCACACAAGAGAGGGAGTGAATTGTGTGGTTCAGAAAAATATGATTTTGAAAAACTTTGCGTGTTAAAATCAAAGTTTAAAATTATTTTTAATATTAAGCAGTAGAAAAAATAAAATTTGCATAAAGTAAAGTGCGAAAAATAAAAAGTTGAGGGAAAACAGAGAACACTGAGAATTATATAGGTTCGGTCAAACAAGAAAAAATACATACTTCTCTCCCTAATATTTGATCTTGAGAGTATCCCATAAACTTAAGAATTTTTAGTAGGTTATACTCACAAACCCTCTTTATATAAAGAAAAATGAAGTTTAAGTTTAACCTCCGACCAAACAATAAACAACAGAGTGAAATGGTAAATCTTCCTTCCAAATGGCGGATCGAAGAGGTTAGTCTCCTTTCCACAAGAATCTTGAAGCGGTTAGTCTTCAAGCTTCTAACCAAAATTTGTGTGTTTTTAATATCGGATTGAGCTCACGAACCTTAAACATTAGTTTTACCACGGGCTAAACAATAACTTATGAGATTTTAATACTGAGCTAATCTCTAACCTATTAAAGCTTTCAATATCAGTCTAATATTTATCCTTAAATCAAAGACTTTATACTTCACTTGCTTTGCATAGCTCCATTGATAATCATTTAGAACTTTAAGCTACAAAGTACAGCTGCAAAACACAAAGGTTTCACCTTTGGTACCCACATCTTCTTTGACCAAGGTGCATTAGTTCAAGAAGACCTAAGGTTGCTACCTTTAGATCTTTTTAACTTATCAAAACAGAAAGCTTATAAATGACCAAATCTGTTATAGTGTGTGCATTTATAAACTGGAAACTTCTTTTGCTTGTGATCTATATCTTTTCCAGGGTTTCTATCTTTCTTAAACCTCAGTCTATCTTTATTTAAGGAAGGTCATTGACTTCATAAGATCAAGTCAAACTTTTCCTTATCTTGGGTAAACTTACCAAGGGTTTCATGCAAATTATTGACTTCCTTCTTTAGATAGACGCAAGTCTCACATGTTTCTCTTGAGTTTC